CTCTGTCACCCAGGCTGGAGTGCAGTGGCACAATCTCAGCTCACTGCAACCTCTGCCTCCCAGGTTCAAGCGATTCTCCTGCCTCAGCCTTCCGAGTAGCTGGGATTACAGGCGGGCGCCACCACACCCGGCTAATTTTTGTATTTTTGGTAGAGATGGGTTTCACCATGTTGGCCAGGCTGGTCTCCAACTCTTGACCTCAAGTGATCTGCCCACCTCGGCATCCCAAAGTGCTGGCATTACAGGCGTGAGCCACCGCACACAGCCTGTATAAGTGTTATTTATGTTAACATGCCATTATTAATATTTTAAAATAAATGAATATTGAAAATTTTTTCCACTTGAACTTCTACTACCGTAAATATCAATAGATACAACTCATATGAATGAAAGCCCGCTGAGACCCTCAGCCATTTCTAAGAGGGTGAAGGGTTCCTGAGTGCAGTGTGTTTGCGATCTGTCGGTCTCAACCAATCATTCTTGCCGTGCGGAGTAGTTCTTGCACACAACTAAACCGCCACTGTCTGACAACCCTGGCACCACTGGGCACTTGTGGTCATGGGGACAGGCTGGGAGGTTGCAAAGGCAGAGTGCCTTCCTGGGCCTCTGATCTGGGCCGCTCTCCCTGTCAGTGTGGCTGACGGTGCCTGGCAGTCACCTGGGCAGGCCCCTGCTTCTCTCTTTGGGCCAGTGTTGGCTCTGGAGGCTCCCGGTGCGTCTTTGTCTTCAGCCTGAATGCTGCACTCAGACTTGACCCTGGGGCAGGCAGGACACTGCCTCAGCCACCTGGGCAGCCCTTTGTGTGATTACCCCATCCAAGCTCCATGAGTCATTCCTTCTCCACTGCCCCCACCCTACCCCATTTCCAGACTTGAGGGTTTTTAAGATGGTCTCCCACCTGCATGCCATTGGCTGTAATGCGTTTCACCACAAATCTGATCTCCTCTGCTTTATATCTTCCAGAAATTCGCCAATGTTCTGGTCTGTTGGTGGCATTTTTCCTGGTTTTCAAGGGCTTCTAAGTGTTTTTATATTTCTCTTACTACATCAGATGGCGGGGGAGATGGGTAGGAGAGGTGCAGTTGAACCTTGAACAATGTGATGGTTGGAGAGCCAAGCTCTCACGCAGTCAGAAACCCTTGTGTAACTTCAGGCTCCCTCCAAACTTAATAAATAGCCTACTGTTAACTGGAAGCCTTACTGGTAACATTAAAAAATCAGTTCACACATACTTTGTATATGTATTTATACTGTATTCTTACAATAAACTAAGCTAGGGAAAATAAAATGTCATTAACATCATAAGAGAAAGTATTTACTAAGTGGAAGTGCATTATCATAAAAGTCTTCATCCTAGTTATCTTCACGTTGAGTGGCTGAGGAGGAGGGGCTGGTCTTGATGCCTCAGGGTGGTGGAAAGGAAGATGTGGAGGAGGTGGGAAGGGAGGCAGGAGAGGCAGGGATACTCTGCCTGTATAACTGATTGAAAAACCACATAGGAGGCTGAGGCAGGAGAATGGCGTAAACCCGGGAGGCGGAGCTTGCAGTGAGCTGAGATCCGGCCACTGCACTCCAGCCTGGGCAGAGGGAGACTCCGTCTCAAAAAAAAAAAAAAGAAAGAAAAACCTCCCTGTGGGTGGACCCGCACAGTTTGAACCTGCGTTGTTTAAGGGTCCGCTGTGCTTGAAAGTGTTAGTCAGCAGTCCTGAACGAAATGTAAACAATGGTTGAATGAAGGAGCAAGGGAGCCTTAAGGGTGGGGAGGGGCGGGTGTCGCCAAGGACCTTCCTCCAAGACAGGGTTGTTGCCAGGGGCAAATGGTGACTGATGATCCACAAGAAGGTGTACCTGTGTGACAGCACCTGTAAAGCAGGTGGGATCAGGGTGCGGCCTGTCGTCTGCTGTCGTCAGGAGCTCAGCAATGGATGGAAGTCCTAGGGGGACAACATACACAGCTTAGCAGCAGGTGCCTCTCCCTTTGGGCCTAATTTAGCCGATGGGAATTTAATTTAGCCACGGGGGCGTAATTGCTAGGAGAAAAGGGAAGAAAAAACCTGATGCCCTCATCGCCTTCCAACCTTCCAATCCTGACTCTTCAGGAAAACCGTGGCTCTCAGACGTCTCCAGAGCGCCTGGCCAAGAGTGAGAAGGTGCGGGCTGGCGTGGGGGTTGGGGGGGGGCGGTGGCAGGATGCTCCCCAGAGGCGGAGAGGGGCGCAGAGAGGGTGCTGCAGGCGGCCTGGGAGTTTGGGGGCGCCTCCCTTCCTCCTGTCTTGGGCACGACCGGTGGATACTGTCGAGTGTGTTGTGGTCCCCTTCTTAGGAAAAGCACAGAGAGACCTTTAAAGATGTGGACCGGACAGCAGCAGGGGGCCCAGGGTGACCACGGTGCAAATCAGGGAAAGGAAACGTAGGTCGCCACACATTCGATTTAAAAGAAAATAACTTCCCTCCTGAAGCAGAGGCTGGGCTAGGTGCCCTGGCACAGGCACAAAACCAGAGCGAACCCTTGCCGCTGCTCTGGAACGTCGGGCCACACCCTCCGGATATGGGAAAGGCTTTCTTCTCTATTTCAAATGACCCTGTTTCGCCTTTTTTAGATGCAAATGTTTATTTGGTCTGACTTTGAAATACCTCGGTGCAGCTGAAATAATTGAAGGCAGCCCCGTAAGCAGCAGCACTTTCCGACCTTCTCACATGCAGACCCTCTGCTGGAGCAGCCAAGCGCCCTCGCGAGACACCTGAGGGGCGGCCCAGCCCCTCCCTCCCTGGGCCGAGCTGGCCGTGCCGCAGCTGGTCACCCGCACGAGGACCTCGGGGTTGCCCTGCAGACTGGCACTTCCGCAGGGAAGTGATGGCAGCTGCTGTGGAGCCAGCATTTGTCGGGGACCTGGCACCCAGGCCACCGGCTCTGGGAGAGGGCTGCGGGGCTGCCGGGCTCACCTTTCAGGGATTAGCTTGTGCAACTTGACTTGTTCCCCCAAATCCTACAAGTACAGAGGATGTGCAGAAATCTGAGAGAGAAACAACCTCCGCAGCTCGTTGTTGTGGGGATTAAATTAGTAAGATGCCTAGAAAATACGATTCAGGAGTGTGGGTGCGTGTGACTTGGTGGTGGATGGGCTCCACTCACCACCCTCCCTCTGCACCTGTCCGAGGCATTTGAACCAGAGCAACTCCATTTTGAATAGGGGCCGGTAAAATAAGGCTAAGACCTACTGAGCTGCATTCCCAGACGGTTAAGGCATTCTAAGTCACAGGATGAGATATGAGGTTGGCACAAGATACAGGTCATAAAGACCACGCTGATAAAACAGGTTGCTGTAGAGAAGCTGGCTAAAACCCAAAATGGCAACAAGATGTGTCCTTTGGTCGTCCTCACTGCTACACTCCCACCACCACCATGACAGTTTACAAATGCCATGGCAACATCAGGAAGTTACCCTATATGGTCTGAAAAGGGGAGGCATGAATAATCCACCTCTTGTTTAGTATATATTCAAGAAATAACCATTAAAATGGGCAAACCACAGCCCTTGGGGCTGCTCTGTCTATGGAGTAGCCAGTCTTTTACCCCTTTAATTTCCTAATAAACTTACTTTCACTTTATTCTGTGGAAACGCCCTGAATTCTTTCTTGCCCAAGATCCAAGAACCATCCCTTGGGATCTGGATTGGGACCCCTCTCCTGTAACACACCCACCCAAGAAGTGCTTGCTGATCTGAGGGTTCACAGAGTCAGTGGCTGCTGTAGTGTCACCACCTTTTATAGATGAGAAAACAGCATCAGAGTTTGTTGTTGTTTGAGATGGAGTCTCACTCTTTCTCCCAGGCTGGAGGGCAGTGTGGTGATCTTGGTTCACCTTCCAGTTTCAAGGGATTCTCCTGCCTCCCAGAGTAGCTGGGATTACAGGTGCCCACCAAGCCCAGCTAATTTTTGTATTTTTGGTAGAGACGGGATTTCACCATGTTGGCCAGGCTGGTCTCGAACTCCTGACCTCGTGATCCGTGGGCCTCTGCCTCCCAAACTGCTGGGATTACAGGCGTGAGCATCAGAGTTTTTAAGTCAGAACTGGAGCCTGAGCACGACAGGTGCCAGAACCCGGCCGTTCCCCGAGGCGCTGGCCTGCCGCACAAGGTCCGCCAGCTCTCGCTCTTTGGGTGTGAGGTCTGGGTGGTTGCGTTCTTGCGCCTGCGCTGTGCCTGGCCGACGGGTGTGCAGGGGGTCCTCTATTTCGCTCGGTTTTGCCTGGGACTGTGTGCCCTGCGTGCTGCGTCGTGTTCTCAGCAGTGGATCTCGGTAGGCACAGCTAGACTTGGTCCTCAGTGGCCCGCTGTGCCCTGCGGGGGACTCTTTTGCACGTACCGTTCCCCCTGGCAGTTGCCTTCCCTCCCCAGGTCCTGGATGGCTCCCACTGCTGGCCAGGGCTCAGGCCGGATTCTCTACTCGACTCAGCGAGGCCCCTGCAATGTGCCACGATGCAGGCCCTCCCAAGTGCGCCCATTGTCCCATCCTGGGCCATGGCAGCTCCTGACACAAAGCAGCAGCTCACATATGAACGGTGGTGGTGTCCCTGGGGGAGACGGAGAAAGAGGGGCTGGCAAAAACTAGGCGGCACAAACCTAGAGCGGCCTTGCCTTCACTTCACACAGTGCGGTGGGCCTTTCCTCCGTCAGCGTGAGCAATTGGAAGGCGGCCTGAGCCCAGTTCCCAGCTCTGAGAACATTGTGCTTGTAATAGGAGCGAGCGGTGTGTTTGGAGTTGGTTCCTTGGGGTGGGTTCGTGGTCTGGCTGATTTCAAGAATGGAACCCTGGGCCTTCCGGGTGTTATAGCTCTCAAAGACTGCAAGGACCCAAAGGGTGAGCAGCAGTAAGAGTTATTGTGAAGAGCAAAAGAACAAAGCTTCCACAGCATCCAAGAACACCCGAGCAGGTTGCCGCTGCTGGGTTGGGGGAGGGGAGAGGCAGCTTTTATTCCCTTATTTGTCCCCTCCCATGTCCTGTTCCTGTACTATCAGAATGCCCTTTTCTCAATCCTAGCTGGGATTGGTTAGTTTTAGAATTCTGCTGATTGGTCCATTTTACAGAGTGCCGATAGGTCCATTTTACAGAGCACTGATTGGTTCATTTTACAATCCTCTTGTAAGACACAAAAGTTCTCCAACTCCCCATTGGACCCAGGAAGTCCCGTTGGCTTCACCTCTCAGTGGGACTGTGTTTAGGGGACAATTCCACCCAGACACAGTGACCTGACCGTGGGGTGCAAAGCTGGGGCCCAGACAGCCTTCCAGACAGCCTTTTACTATATTGGGGATGTGGCTTTATGGAGTCATGCTGGCCACTCCCTCCAGAAGAAGCCTGATGGATCAAAGATGGAAACCAAAAAAATACCGGAAGAAAATGATTAAAACAAAAAAAAACAACTGTTGGCCAGGCGCGGTGACTCAAGCCTGTAATCCCAGCACTTTGGGAGGCCAAGGAGGTCAGATCATTTGAGGTCAGAAGTTTGAGATCAGCCCAGCTAACATGATGAAATTCCTACTGTGCTAAAAATGCAAAAGTCAGCTGGGCATGGTGGCGTGCTTGCAGTCCCAGCTACTTAGGAGGCTGAGGCAGGAGGATTGCTTGAACCCAGGAAGTGGAGGCTGCAGTGAGCCAAGATTGTGCCACTGCAGTCCAGCCTGGGTGACAGAACAAGACTCTGTCTCAAACACACATACACACACACACCTGTAATCTTGGAGAGGGTTGAACTCTTTAATGATCTTGCAAAACCCTGTGGCCATAGCAACATAATTGATTTATTCTACCAGATAAGAAAAAAATATATCTGCATGGCAGAAAACATCCTGCTTAAAGTTAAAAAAAAAAAAAGATAAATAGAAAAAAAATATGGCACATTCCTAAGATGGAATTTACCCTGCAGTCATGAAAAAGAATAAGGTATACTTAAGTGTATGTGAAAACAGAATCTTATGCATAATAATATATGTAACTTATGGCACAGGCAAAGGGCCACTATAAATCAAAGAAAGAAATCCAACAACTGAATTGAAAAATGGGCAACGGGAAGAAATCCTTCACAGAAAAGAAAAATGCCTCTAAACATTTTAAAATATGCTGAGTGTCATCACAATAAGAGAAACGCAAACTGAAATATCAGTGAGATCCTACTTTCCACTATCAGATCAGCAAGTTCCAAACTTTGACAATGGCCTTTCGAGTGAGCTGAAGGGACATGCTCCATGGGGGAATGTAGTCACATTTAGCAGAACTGCACACATATGTGCTCTGGCCCGGCAAGCCCACTTCACAGTCTTGTCAAGACATGTAATACAGAAGCTCATCAAAGCATTGCAGTGATTGGAAAAGGATAGGAACAACTTAAGAACTATCAGGATTAATTACATCACATCCCTAGGTCAGGTCTGCATTACCATGCAGTCATTGAAAAAGAGGGCGGTGGTTGGGCGTGGTGGCTCTCCTGGTGCAATCCCAGCGCTTTGGGAGGCTGAGGCAGGTGGATCACTTGAAGTCAGGAGTTCGAGACCAGCCTGACCAACATGGTGAAACCCCATCTGTGCTAAAAATACAAAAACTAGCCGGGCGTGATGGCGGGCGCCTGTAATCTTGGCTACTCGGGAGCCTGAGGCAGGAGACTCGCTTGAACCTGGAAGGCGGAGGTTACAGTGAGCCGAGATCACACCATTGCACTCCAGCCTTGGCAACTCCGAGTGAAACTCCGTCTAAAACAAAAAAAAGAAGGAGGTATATTTAGGTCTATGAAATGCAGCAATCTTCAGAGTATATTGTTTCGTGAAAAAGAGGAAGCTAGAGGGTATGTTCTAGACTTATCTCATTTGTTCGAATGAGTGTATGTGTGTGTGCACACAGAAATTCCTGGTAGGATGCATAAAACATGGACATTCGTATGTTTCCTCTGGTGCTATGAACCAAATGTTTCTGTACTCCTCCCCGCAAATTCATATGTAGAAATTATCAGCCCCAGTGCAATGGCATTAGGAGGTGGGACCCTTGAGAGGTTAGGTCAAGAGGATGGAGACCCCAAGCTCTCTTCCTCTTTCTCTGCCATGTGGCCAACTGCAACCTGAAGAGAGCCCTCCCCAGGACCCAACCATACGGGCACCTTGATCTGGAACTTCCAGCCTCCAGAATTATGAGAAATAAATGCCTGCTATTTATAAGCCACCCAGTCTGTGATCCTTTTTCATAGTGGCCTGAGCTGACTGAGACCGCCAGGTAAGAGACCTGGGGTCTGGGGTAGGTAGCATTCCCATTGTCTCCTTGATTCTGTTTGAATGTTTGACTCCAAGCATGAAGGACATTTTTAGTTCTTTTGTTTTTTTGGGTTTTTCTGAGACAGTCTCACTCTGTCGCCCAGGCTGGGGTGCAGTGGTGCAATCTCCACTCACTGCAACCTCTGCCCCCTGGGTTCAAGCAATTTTTGGGCCTCAGCCTCCTGAGCAACCAGGATTACAGGCATCTGCCACCATACTCAGCTAATTTTTGATTTTTTAGTAGAGACGGGGTTTCACCATGTTGGCCAGGCTTGTTTTGAACTCCTGACCTCAGGTGATCCACCCACCTTGGCCTCCCAAAGTGCTGGGATGACAGGGGTTGAGCCACCGTGCCCGGCCATTTTAAGTTTTTTAAAACAGTCAAAGCCATGCCTGGGGGAGGCTGCAGTCTGGCTCTGTCCCACCCTTGCCTGCTGCTGGTTGTACGTGGGGCCAGCCCAGCTGCTCCCTGGGTCAGGGTCTACAAGGCCAGCCCTGGAGAGGCAGATCCACAACACAGCCAGCGCAGCACCAGGACAGGTGCCCTGGGCTGAGGTCTGCATGGGGCAGCAGAGGCAGAGCCTACCAGACCTGCAGACATTTCTGCAATTGATTATGTTCTTACTTGTCCCTAAGATGAGCACTTACCTAGGCGTCGCTGATGCCCTCTGGTTGGGGCAAGGGGGGCGTCCCAAATCTGACGCTGGAGCAGCAGGGGATCCCCTGTGCGTAGAGACCAGCAGGCAGGCTCTGTGCCGTGGGCTAGCTGGTGCACCCAGGACACCTCAGCTCACACCCTCCTGGGAAGGACTGCCAGCCACTTCACAGGCAGAGCACAGAGGTGCTGGCTCCACCCCCTGTGTGTGGGTGGCCCTCTGTAGTCACCAGCCTGGCTGTGTGCCTCCTTGTTCCAGGCATGGTCTCAATGGCCTCAGGCCCTCCCTCCTGAGCCTGATTAAGAAGCAAAGCACTCTGCAGTAGGGGACTCTCTCTTCTTAGGAGGAGGCGGTGATTCTCACTAATAAGTGCTTTTCTTCTACCACATCGTGTACATTAAATGTTCTTTTGTTGTTGTTGTTGTTGTTGTTTGCTTTTTTTTTTGGATACGGAGTCTTGCTCTGTCGCCCAGGCTGGAGTGCAGTGGCCCAATCTTTGCTCACTGGACCCTCCATCTCCCAGGTTCAAGCGATTCTCCTGCCTCAGCCTCCTGAGTAACTGGAACTACAGGCATGCACCACCACACCCAGCTAATTTTTGTATTTTTAGTGGAGACAGACAGGGTTTGACCATGTTGTCCAGGCTGGTCTCGAACTCCTGACCTCAAGTGATCCTCCTGCCTCGCCCTCGTAAGTGTATATTTTTCTCTTACTTTTTTTTTTTTTTTTTTTTGAGAGGGAGTCTTGCTCTGTCACCAGGCTGGAGTGCAGTCGTGCCATCTCAGCTCACTGCAACCTCTGCCTCACAGGTTCAAGTGATTCTCTTGCCTCAGCCTCATGAGTAGCTAGGATTACATGTGTGCACCACCAAGCCCAGCTAATTTTTGTATTTTTAGTAGAGACGGAGTCTCACCATGTTGGCCAGGATGGTCTAGATCTCTTGACCTTGTGATCCACCCTCCTTGGCCTCCCAAAGTGCTGGGATTACAGGCGTGAGCCACCACGCCTGGCCATGTATATTTTTCTAAACAGACACCTGACCGTGCTGAGGTCATCCATTGAAATTCCCCAGCACTTGCTGGCTTCCCTGAATTCAGCTGAATTGCACGTGCCCACTGCTGCTGGGTAACCTATGGCAGGCACAGCTGTGGGATGAAGCAGGCAGTGTGCACACATTCCACTGCACAGTCTGTGGCCTGGCCAAGCCCCTGGGCATTTGAGGCTCCGGGCAAGGCTTCGTGTCCTGACAGTTTTGGGTAGGGGCAGGAGGTGGGTGAGCCCAGATCCCAGCAGCAGGCATGGCTCCCTGGGTTTTCATGTCATCTGTGCCGTCTTCTACCAGGATCCTGCAGCAGCTGAAGGGAGACCCCTCTCCTTTTAAGGGTTAAACCCCCAATGGCACAGAGCAACTTACCTGCCCTTGCATGGTGAACACTCCCATCTTTATCACATCAGTAATTCTTGCTAAAAGCAGATGTAATTTTGAAGGTGGGTAAAAGTAACTTGAAAAGTCGGTGGGCAGATGGCAGAGAGCCTGCTCATCCTTCTTTCAAACTGTCATCAGTCGCACAGGTCTCAGCTGCCATCTCATACTATTATTATTGCTATTTTGCATGTGTGCACACCTCTTTCCGTGGGTGTGGAGGGAGGGGACTGAGCAAAGCCTCAGGGAGGCCACATACGTTCTCAGCGCCATGCTTGGCTGGTGACTGGTCATGCACCATTGGCAGGGCCTGGAGCACGTGCAGGGAACAGAGTTCCTGGCTCTGCACACTCAGCATGTGTGTTTCATACTGTCACCTGGCTGGCTCCTCTTTCTGGGTTTGTGTGAGCAGAACAGAACACATGCTGGGGACAGGGCTTGCCTGAGGGGCTGCCCAGGTCATTTCCATCTTGGCGATGATGACACCACCCTGAGCTCATTTATTCTTCACAGCAATCCCAGGAGGTGGAACCACCCCATTTTCCTGATAGGTAGACTGAGATGTGAGTGAGGGGAGCAGACCGGACGAAGCTAGGACCCAAGGACAGGTGAAGGCAAGGAGGGAGGATGCTGCTAATAATCAGGGCCATTCATTTGGCCCGACCCAGAAGCTTGGGCAAATGGAGGCAGCTGGCACTACAGAGGCCATGGGGCAGGCGTAGTGGGGGCCAAACCAGAGGGCTTGATCCGCACTCTGGGAAGCTGTTGAGATCCCAGGTTCCTTCCACGGCATGCCTCAGACGAGCCTGGAAGTTTATTCTTTGGGGAAATTGTAGAGCGGTGGCTCTAGGCTCAGCCACTGAAGGACCGCAGAAGGCAGAGGTGGGGCTCTGGACTAAAAAGGGGTCCAGGTATAAGAAGAAAGACTTCGCCTACGCTGAGGAGATCCCCAAGACCCCCTCCCGACTCTGCTTCCAGGAAGTTGGCAGCATGACCTACATGCCCCAGGCAGGGCACATGTCCCTCAAGAGGAGACCTAAACATGTTTGCAGGTGAGGGTTGCCCAAAAAAAATCTGCTATAGCCGCCGGTCTAAAATCATCCCCTGACAGCAAGAAGTCTTCAGTGAGCTCTTCAGGGCTGTGCCCTTAGAGATGAACCAACTGTCCGTGGTCATTGAACACAGGAGTGAAGCAGCCAACATGCAGCACAACCAGGAACACGTAGGGAAGAGGCACTCGGAGGAAGCAGAGGGAAGGGGCAGAGCAAAGCTTAACAGGAAGCCCCTATCAGTCACATTCTTGGGAGCTGACAGAGTAGATTGCATCCAGGAAACAAGATTGGCATTCTAGCCCAGGCATGGTGGCTCATGCCTGTAATCCCAGCACTTTGGGAGGCCGAGGTGGGCAGATCACCTGAAGTCAGGAGTTTGAGACCAGCCTGGCCAACATGGTGAAATCCCATCTCTACTTAAAATACAAAAATTAGCCGGATGTAGTGGCCCATGCCTGTAGTCCAGCTACTCAGGAGGTTGAGACAGGAGAATCACTTGAACCTGGGAGGTGGAGGTTGCAGTGAGCTGAGATCACGCCACTGCATTCCAACGTGGACAACAGAGCAAGACCACACACACACACATACACACACACACACACACAAGATTGGCATTCTAGGAAAAAGGGATCCAGGGATCATCAAAGCTCAAGAAAGAGGACATTTAATAAATAGGATAGAAGGTGGAGTCAAGAAAATTGCTAGAAAAAAGACAAGGAGATTGACAATAAGACACCAAAGACAACTAGCATGTCAATCAGATGATTCGGGGTGCCACTAATTAGAGTTACAAAAGGTGAGACCAGAGACAAGGGGGAGACATTTTAAAATAAATAATACAAGAAAATTACCAAGTGAAGAATGGGAGCCTCTGATTGGAAAGAGCCTGTTAAGGGCCATCATTTTAGAATTCTACACCAAGGCGTGTCACCATACAATCGGAAAGCATTCAGGATGAAGAGAAAGCCTTGTAAGCTGGAGGTTGCAGGGGAGAAGAACAATACACACAAAGATTTAAGGATGAAATGACATTAGACTTCACAATGGCAGCACTGGAAGACAGGTGACAATGGAATAATGCCTTTGAAATTTTGATGGAAAATCATTTTCCACCTAAATTTCTATATCTTTCCAAATTATTTTTCAAGTATAAAATAGTATAACTGCATTTCTAGGCATGCAACATCTTTAAAACCCTTGCCTCAAGAGATACTGGAGGATGCGTGCCACCCAAACAAGCAAGTAAACCAAGAGACAGGAGGACCTGGGGTGCAGGAAGCAGGACCTAGCCCAACGGGCAGGCCAAGAGAGGCCCCAAGGTAACAGTTGGTAACAACAGAACAGGAAGTCAGAGGGCCCTGGGAAGAAGGCCTCCAGGGAAGGGGAACTGCCAGCCTATGGGATGTGTTGGAGTTTGAAGCAGTTGTTGATAGGTGTTTGGCAGAAATGTGGAAGTATCTGGGGGAAAGTTAGCCTTAAGGACATTGACAACTTGACAGAAGGAAGCATTTTCCTCTGGTGCAGGCGGCAGGAGTGGATAATGAGAAAGGAACAAGTTCATTGCACACTATTGGGCTCTGCAATTAACACAATTTGATAGTCCTAGTAAGGTAAACACTGATTATTAACCCAAAATTATGATCTAAAGATATATTGGGATGATGGGTGGGGGAGGAAAGTGGGAATACAGTGAATAGCAAGTGTCGAATCACCACTATTATGGTAGAAAGTCAACACATAATGTCAAAATATAATGAATAAAAATAGCCGTATCTCCTTATGTTTTCAGAAGCAGATTTAAAGAAGGAAAGTGGTGGCCCCTGGACTCTGGAATGAGAGAGACGGGGAGAGAATGCTGCATAACTGTTTGGACTGTACACTGCATGTGTGCATCACTTTTCTAAAAATACAAAATTCATAAGGAAGAGGCAGCCCTGCCAGTTGCTGGCTGCCATTGTGAGCTCTTTGGAGAATGGGATGCGGGTGCAGGAGTGAGGGCAGTCAGCAGCAGGGGGGCCAGGAGACTCCGGGGAGTTTGAGTCTTTAAGAAATGGAAGAAGTTTCCATCCAGTGGGCAACTGGAGGCAGACATCCTGGATGTGAGAAGCCAGCAGGGCTTTTCTGTCTTCTGCAGGAACTCCTGCTAAGCTGTGGCGGTTGCATTTGTTGGTGGGAAATGGCCCACAGAAGAATCCAGCCCCCAGTGCTGAGGTGCATCTGATGGGACTAGGAGAGTGATGATCCCTAGGCAGCTCGGAGAAAGTAAGTGGTAGCATGGCTCCTTTGTGGTGGGATTGGAAGGATGGAGGGGAAAGAAGGTTGGGTGAGGGCCTCTGCCTCTCAGGAAACGAGGCTGAGTCAATATGGTGGGAGCATGGCCAAGATTCCATCTCATGCCAGGAGACAGAGCCATGAGTCCCCTGATTTCAAGGACCAGGTGAAATCACGGTTCTTGTGGCCCTTTCCTTTCCTTCATTGGGGTCTGTGCTGGCCCCTGTCACTGGCCCTTGCTGAGGGAGGGGCAGAGAGGTGGTCTGCAAGGGATGGAGGAAATGGGAACCAGAGAGGTGAGAGGCAGAGAAGGGGTTTGACTGCTGGAGGCAGCTTAGGGGAAGGCTGACCCTAGCCCCAACTCAGCAGAGCCAGGAGGCAGAGATGTGCGTGGGTGGTGTATTAGTTACCTATTGCTGCATAACAAGTAGCCCCAGAACTTAACAGCTTAAAACAACATACATGTATATCTCACATGGTTTCTGAGGGTCGGAGATTTGGGAGCAGCTTAGCTGATTATTCTGAGTGTCGAGGACACGTGTGAGATTATAGTTGAGCTGTCAATTGGGGCAGTGGTCTCCGAAGACCGGACTGGGGTGGAGGAACTGCTTTCATGTTCTCTTATGTGACTGTGCGCTGGAGGCCTCTGTTCCTCTCCACATGGGCATCTCCAAATGGCTGCTCAGGAGGTGGCTTCTCCTGGAGCAAGTGATCATACAGAGATAGAAACAGAGAGACAGAGAAACACAGACAGAGAACATAACCAAGAGAGAAGCCATGGTGCCTTTCATAACCCAGCCTTGAAAGCGGCATGTCATCACTTCTGCTGTATTCTGTGGTCCTAGATGCAGTGCGGAAGGATTCCACACAAGGCTGAGAAGGCTGGGAAGCAAGATCACTGGGGGTCATGTTGGGGGTCATCTCGAAGGCTGGCTGAGTGCAGCTCATCAATTGGGCACCTACTGTGTGAGAGACTCTGAGCTTCAGGCTGTGGCTGTGATAAGGTCTTGAAGAAACACCTGCTCCCAAGGGACTTAGGAATTCCAGTTCTTCTGTCTGTATCCCTCACTGTAACCAGTCCCTCACTGTATCTAACACTGTAACTGTATCCCTCCCTGTAACCAAGGGATACAGTGAGTATCCCTCACTGTAACACATACACACACACAACATTTAAAAATTGTTATCTATTTATTTATTTTAGTTTTGAGACAGGATCTCACTCTGTCACCCAGGCTGGAGTGCAGTGGTGCCATCACAGCTCATTGCACCCTTGACCTCCTGGGCTCAAGTGATCCTCCCACCTTAGCCTCCCGAGTAGCTGGGACTACAGGCACGTGCCACCACGCCCGGCTGATTTTTGTATTTTTGGTAGAGATGGGGTTTCACCATGTTGCCCAGGCCGGTCTCGAACTCCCGAGATCAAGCAATCCACCCACCTTGGCCTCTCAAAGTGGAATGAGATGACAGGTGTGAGCCACCGCACCTGGCCTTCAATCCTAATTTTAAGAATAGAATCGTTGGCTCCTATCTGCTTCCTCTTTTCAGTCTTACCACACTTCCATGTTCCTTATTAGTCTTGTGCTCTCTCTTTGCTGTAAGTTGGGCATATTTTATTAATTCCACTCGTCAGATGGGAAAACTGAAGCCACAGAGATAGGCCAAGTATTGGCCAGAGGCCTGACCAGTGGTGAC